AGTTCAGCAGTGATTGACAATTCCTGGTCTGAAATCATCCAAATTAATCTAGTGAAGGTGTATGGACTTTAAAAACACAGTGGAGCACTTCCTGTATCACCACATGACATCACAAGGTGGAACAGAGTGTTTTCAGTTTCGTGAGAAGTCTATTACGCAGGATTTGTGCGTTAAATGTATTTTAGGGAAACAAATCACAACTCCAGGTATGTTTATGACGAGGAAACAACATTATAACATCAGAAAATAGCTTAATACGGGCATTCATCAATTGCACTCATGTAGATTTTTTTTTTGAGGTGTGTCTCCCAGCGTGCTCTGCCCACCCCACCACGCCACCTCCCTCTTTTCTTTTAGGAGGAAGCCCATTAGCGACGCCTCTGTCCCTCCATGTTTCCTGTCAGTGAAGACGGATTACTCTCTCTGCTCTGCACTCGGCGCGCTCTCCTCTCTATCTGTTTTCATATAAAAGCTCTAAGGTCACAATCATACACTGACACCGGCGGGGGCGCGTTTATACACTGTGGAGACGCTGCTCAAAAGCGGGCTCTTCCTTTTGGCTAAAGTCAACGCAGTCAGGCTCCATTTGTTGCCGGGCAGTTCCAGTCTATTTGTCAGTGGGTCATGGGACGTCTGGGTGGTTTTTGTTGTGTTGCTGTAATTCTTCTGACTATTAAAGCTGGACTATGGAACTTTTTTGTTATGGGTTCATGACCAGCTTGTCTCCACGGACACGTTATTATCGCTTAGTCTGGAATGTTCCACAGTGAAGGCAAGATACTTCACTAAAATACCATTATTTAACTGAAGTAACTTGTGTATTCTCTAGGCTGGTATAAGACACAGTTTGCAGAGACACAAGATTGGGTCTACAACAGTGAGACAAGAGGTTAAGACAAAATTTGTAATTGACAAACTCTACTATCCAGTTCACATTTTCCTTTTTTATTGCTATTATTTTTTTATACTTTGTTGACCTGTTGCCCTATTGTGCCTGTCTTAGGTTAGGGGTGTGCACAAATACCAGAATATTGATATATCATACTAAATTTTGTGCTAGAGTATCGTTATCATGGGCTTCTATATCGATATATCACCAAGAATATTTTTTCTTTTATCTTTGGGCGTTTTTTTGTGAACAAAGTACAATTTTGTTGCTTATTTAGTGGATGGAAATTTGTTTATGCAATACATGTGATGTATTCACTATTTAAAGATTACATTTTCATATTAACTTTGCACAAGTAGTTTTTTAACAAAGAAATATTGTTGCTCAAATGTGTTTGGTTCTTAAAAAACAGCAACAGCACAGAGAGTATCATGTGCAATGTGTCGATTACTGTATCACACGTGTCACCATATTGTGACAATATTGTTTTGTGAGCCATGTATCGTGTATTGTATTGAATCATGAGGACCCTGTGATTCCAAGCACCATTTTGGGTTTAAGTTAAATTGTATTATTTATCTATTCATCTATTTATTTATTTATTTATTTTGTGCAAAATCTTTTTTGCAATTTAGTCTTGTGAGATTGGGGCAATATCTTGTACCCTCTCTAGTATTTTAGGAACACACTTCTCATAATACAATTGGAAACTTCAAGAAAAGGGCTACAGATGAGATTAGAGTTGTAAGGTCAAACATCAGAGACATTTTCAATTATGTTTTTATTATTATTTTTTTTTTACAACTGACCCCAAGATCTATAGCTATTATTTTGATAAACAATTAAGCAGTTAAGCATCATTGCTCCCCAAAAAATACATCCACAAAAAGTGATTTCATGATTTCATTGGAGCCAGATCACAACATTGACTAAGGTGGCATCCACACAGTTAAGTTTTTTGGCCTAAACAGTGAAGTCTGTATTCGTTTCAGCCTTTCATCCACATGGAGTTGGCGTTTTGGCTGGGCAAAAACTCCAGAGTGGAGAAATCGGAGAACTCCAGCGTTGCATTGTCATGTGGACAAGCAAACGTGACTTCGTCATGTCTGTTTGTTGTGGAAGAGAAAGGACTTCATGTGCATGCGCTCTTTGGAGTATTGTGTGTCCAGTGGCTCTGGCTGTGTCCTGTTTACAGCACCACATACAGGTGTGAAGTGTGGCATATATATTACATTGTTTTCACTCAGTGCTCTGTCATTGTGTGGATGTGAATATTTTTTAAAAATCCAGGAGCGTTGTCGTGTGGACATAGCCTAAGTTATCCAAGATCTGCTCCTGGGAGTTCACACTTCTCTGTTACATCCACACGTCTAACTCAGAACCTTTACAATAGGCTCACCACTAGGAGGAGTGTGGAGAAAAAAAAATCTCACAAGATCATGTTTCTCGTGTGTGCACAAAAACACTACCCTAATAAAAACACAAACCAGCATGAGAAGAACTGGCACTTCCTCATGTAATAAAAGGCTCTGCCACAGTCCTCCTATAGCCACGAGGTAGGCTCCCACAGCAGATAGCGTGGAGGGGGGTGGAGGGGTCATGAGAAGCTCCCTCCAGGCTCTCACTGCACCCTGACAGGAGATAAGGTCAAGTGTTTGTCCCATCACATCACACTATAGAGGAATGTCCGCTATGAGGACTACAAACAACACACTCTCTTCTCTGTGTGCCCATATGCTAACGTGGATTCTTTGTCTGCTGTAAATGAGAATTTAATTACTTAGGAAGTAATGATATCCTTGCCTCTTTACAATTGTATGCATTATTCAGGCTTTTTGAACCGCTGTAGAACACAATCATCTTGGTAATTATAAGTTAGTGTAATTGTAGCCCTTTTTACTCATTACAATACATAATGGAAAACCTTGTATGCGTTGCATTCGTGTAATCCCAGTTGTACAGTTAGGGTCCATTACAATAGAGGACTGACTGGACAAAATTCTGCTAAGAGACTGGCATAAATATTTGTCTGAAGGGATGAGCTAACTATCATAGACTGTATAAAATGGACATAGGTAACCCACTAGTCGCTGTATTGTTGTACCTGTTGTAGTGAGCCCCGTCATTTTAGTCTTATAATGTCTGTACTTCCTGTTGGGTTTAGGGTGGGGCCATAATATAATTTTTTTCATGCTCTGACAGGTTTCTTTTTTTGTGCTGGATTTCAGATTTTTACTAGGTCAGGAATCAGAATACACTAGACGGTTTACAAGAACCCCGGAAGTTGTAGACCGCGCACCGGCCAATCAGTGAAGAGCTGTGAAGCCATGACGTCAAACTCGTCACGTCTGACTGGGTCCCTGTAAACAAAGCATCGAGATGGATGTAGATGAAGACAGACATTCTGTGTTGGCAACGATTCCCGAGATCGAGGATTTAAAGCTGGAACAAAAAGAATGTTTGGTGAATTTTGTCAAGGGGAAAGACGTTATTGCCCTTCTTTCTACGGGATTTGATGCATTACATATGTCACGACTAAATAGCAGCAATTGGTTAAATAAAAAAGTACCCGCTTACCGTCGAGCAAACGAATCCTACTGCTGCGACGTCAGACAGTTTCCACGAAGTGGAAAATCAAAGTTTGAGGATCAAAGTTTGAGTTGTCATCTTTCATAATTTTTTTTCCCCAGGACTTTCTTTTTTTTTTTTTTTTGGCAGTGACTGGTATAAAAAAATTTAGTGAAAGACGACTCAGTAGCACCTCCTCCAAGTTTGATTTTCACAGGGCCTATGGGAGCCCGACCTGGAAAAAGCAACGTAAAAATTAAAAACCAGCCACAAAAAATAGAACATGTCAGAAAAAAATATATATATTTACTCCAATCACCTCTTGAGTTTCCTTTGACTGGAGCTGGAACTCTATGGGTGATGTCACACTCCCTTAGTCCACTTCTTTATATGCAAACTACACTGAAACTAACACACCCTAGTTGTTTACAGTTAGTAAGTATATGTTATTATAAAAAGTTGTTACAGAAAGTTCTACTGACTCATTAGGGGCATAAACGATTATTATATTACGATCTGACTCAGGAGATGGTTAAGTCCATTAAAAAACTAATAAGAATGTGAACTAATAGTACTGTTAAAATAACTTGTTGTTGCTGTGTTAGTTTCAGTGTAGGTAGTTCCTCCCTTCAGACAGACATTCAAAAGGCCTGTACACAGTTTATTTCCTTGTGCAAAATTACTCCAGTACAGATATATTGTATAAGCAGCTCTTGAAGTCAAAGTAAGTCTGCTGTGTGCTGCATTATAAAGAATCAGGAAGAGTGCGCTGAGCATGCTAGTTGTGGTTAACATTACTGTGATTACATATGCAAAAAGGGCTGCTGATGATGCTTGAATTCATTTGCGTGAAGCAGTTGGAAATCTTGCCAAATTTCCGTAACTGTGTAGTGAAAAATATCTGGTGTAGGTGAATAAACTTTAAAAACACAGAGGAGCACATTTGGACTACCACTGGATGACATCACGCAGTTAGGCAAACTTTTTGAGCTCTCACTAAATATGTTTCACTATTTGTTCATAAACTCTTAAAGGAACACTATGTAACTTTTTGGTTGGGGGACGGTCACCTGCTTGTTTCTATGGAGATGTCATTGCTCTGCCTGGAATGTTCCACAGTGTGACATTAAACAGCTCTACCTTACATTTATTCAGTTACAGGTGGTTTTCTAGCTCAAAAACACATAGAAAAACAGGGATTCTGACTGTGAGCAGGGTCACCTCTCCACAGATCTGACCTGTAACTTGGTCAGGTTTGGTCTCCATATAGATAGAAAGTTTTAATGCCATACAGTGAAACATTCCAGACAACCTAATAACAGCTCCATGGAGAAAAGCATTTGACACACCCTTCACCATCAACGTTACAAAGTGCATCTTAAAAACAGAGGAGCACTTCTGGACTACCACTGGATGACATCATGCAGTGGGGGCAAACATTTTGAACTCTCATTAAACATCCAGAACTTTTCCACTGTTTTAACATTCTGACATGATTGCAATCTAAATCCATGTCTAACCTGTCCCTCTGTTTGCGTTGCAGATCAAGACGGCGCCGAGCCCAGTGCCAACTCCGTGTCTGCGTCTAACCTGCTGCGTTTGTCCCAGTGCACGGGCAGAGGGGAGTGGGTGCACAGGTGCCAGCAGCTCCTCACCGCCTTCTCCAAACGCCTCAGTGCCGCGCCCATCGCCCTGCCCGAGATGGTGCGCGCCCTCATGGCTCAGCACAGCACCCTCAAGCAGGTAACTGACAAGTGGAGAGAGTGTGTGTGTTTATGTGTGTATGTGTTCAATGAAGTGTATATGTATATGTATATATTTATGTATTTTGATTTAATAGAAAATACAGTATAACTACTATTGGGTGCACCTTTGTAGCAAAATAAAAAACATATATAGTTAGAAAAACAGAGCAGTTCTTCAAAAATGTAAAGAAGCCTTCTAAAAAATAATTGAATATTTCCATAGTGCTAGTGGAATAATTACGTAGCTGTCTCATCTTAAATAATATCTGTCTAACAATTAGAACTGTACTTTTTGCAGGAAATCACACCACTGTCACACCGCAGGACATCACACTGGCACATGTTCAAATTTTTTTTAGAAAAGATGGATTTTACCAAAATAAGAAAATGATAATTATTAAACATGTTCTGTATCTAAAACCCTTAACCCCAGAGCTCTTCCTGATCTGTAAATGAGCTAATTCTAGTTTTTTTGTATCAGTTTTTTTAAATGTGTGATTTTTCATGTCACACTGCAGGACACCCTCAGGATTGCAGCATGAAACTGTCTATATCTTTTTTAGATTTAAAGTAGCGGTAAATGTGTAGTAATATCAAATCCTGTACAGTGCTACAGTCACACCGCAGGTTATTTGAGTGCTTTTTTGTTGATTTGCCAAAAAATGAAACACAGCCTTATTCTAAAACTGTATGTCATTTATTGAATACATATTTGTGCACAGATGAGTTGAATTTTGGAGGAAGAAAAATATTATCTAAAAAGTAATTTAAAGTGATTATGGTGAAAATGGATGTCATGTTAAGTACCCTACACTACAAAAATACTTTTCTTCCACATATGTCTCATTATCTTCAAAACATCTACTTTTTACATATGTTGTTTGGCAGTATTTGTCGAAACACATTTTGGCTGTACACATATTGTTGCCATTTTTTATTACTACCATCATTTTATTAAAATAAATACATAAACACATTTTCTTAAAATGTGACACTTTTCTGTCAGCTAATTCAGGAATGTTTAACTGTCTGAACTTCAAAACTGGACTACAACATGATTACATGATATAATACTCATAATCAGTTGAGTAAAACTATTAAAGTACCCATTTAAAAATATAGCAAAAGAGTAAAAGTATTTCAGATTTTGAGGTCTTATAAAGCTTCAAATGTAGTAATTTGAAGAACAACTTCTGCTGAAACAATTTAATCAATATATATATATTTTCCAGCTATTTTTATTTGTACATTTTTGTTTGCTCAAACTACGAACATCTTGAAAATAAACCCCTCAGGCTTTTCAGCAGGCCTCAAATGACACATTTTTTAAAATATATTTGTACTTTTCAATCCTGTACACAAAAGTACAGATACCAGTTTCTCAAATGTAGTTGCGTAAAAGTAAAACATGTCTACTTTAAATGTACTTAAGTACAGTACCAATATCTAAAATGTATACTAAAGTACAGTACTTAACTTCTTTACATTGTTGTTTGTAATATGTGCCACCACTGGACACAATTAGGACTCCATGGTCAGTCTGTTCTACTTTACAATATTCAAAGAAATCGATCTGGTATGAAAAAAATATATACATATCCAATTTCCACTTACTTTCATTCCATCTTAAAGTATTAATCTTGACACTATTTTGGCCAGCTGACATCTCCTCTAACTCCTCATTCCAAATAAACAACTCAAACTCACAGACATCGACTGAGGACTCCCCGTGAGGCGTGTAATTTCCCTTTTATATTCTTTTACACTTAGCGCACTTGTCACCACTCTTTGATTCGTCGCTCGCCTCTGGGGCTTTGACAGCTCAACAAAAACTATCTGTGTTTAAATTGGATATTTGTCATCTCTTAAGGAAGAAATATGTTGCTTTTTAAAGGTACACTACGTAACTTTATCGGCAGGGAGTTAGTGACTACCTTGTCTCCATGAGATAATACTACAGTATACCATTAAAGAGAGAAAGGGTATTATGCCAAATCAACTTTTTTGAGCTTTCTTCTATGTTATAGCATTGTTCCCTCATCAGAAACTTACATGAAGAGGTTTTAGAGGTCACTCATGCATGTTTGAATAATCTAGGGATCTCTTTCAGGCTCTATTCAATCTCTCTTTACGATTAGCTGTAAGATGCTGTCCAAAGCTCCGCCCAAAAGCCTACGTCACCCACGCTCCCACACGATAATTTGCCATAAATATACAAAAACATGATCCAAACAACGCTACAACTTCACAAACCTGTTGCGATGTAGTTTCCTTAGCAGGAAGTACGCTGATTATGTTGCGCTCTGAAGGGGGAGTAACTTAAAGCGGAGAACAAAAGAAGGATTGACTCAGCATCAAAAATGAAAGTGAAACAGGTCAATACTAGGGATGCAATCGTTTGATACTGGTCTCACAATCCGATACACGTGTTCGGTCGATATGTACCCTCCATGTGTGCTGTGTTGTCATTTATTTTGGTCCGAAAGGAAAATGGTTATTGCAGCGTCCTCCTCAGATGCAGCAAGAAAACAGCTCCATAGGGATACAGCTGAAATATTTTAACAGAGATGGGCTTTATCTTTCAGCCGTTTTTTATTTTACATTGATAGACCCAGGAATGACAAAGATACAAACTTTTAAATACTTAAGAATCACTTTTGGCTTTACATCGGCTTTAATCAAATGTGCTCGTATACGCGACTCACGATATACACAATCTTTTCTCATAAGTTTCTCATCACTCTGTTTCATAAGTTTTACTCAGAAAATGGTCAGTTGAGATATTTCTATGGAATATAACGTAGTTTGAGTGTCCAGAAAGAGGATGGGAGAGTGCTGCGTCTCATAGACTGTAGCAGGGCAGAGTGGGAGGAGCTACTCTCTGTCTCTGCTGAAGGATTCAGAGCAGCGCCGACACAGGCATAAGGCATGTGAATGCAATGAGAGGACTCAGGAGGAAAAGAAATCATCAAATCATCATCAAGAAAAAGATATGTTATGAAATATAAACTAGTCTGATGTAATGGCTGCGGAGTCTTCGTCAGGCTGCATATGAAAAATAAGACACAGTGTGGAGTCAGACCACTTTATTCCTGTGACATATAAATACTCATTTACTATGTCTCCACATACAGTATCAGGCACTGGCTCCTCTCTGCAGTCTCCAATGTGCTACTGAGAGGGGAAGTTGAACTACCAAAATAAAATACAGGTGCAGTGCAAACTTTTGGTTTTCAAACTAAAATGTCAAAATGATAAAATTCACATAAATTATAATTAAACATAAAATACAACCAGGAAATAGTAACATGTGCATTTTTAACTCCGTTACACCGAGAAAGCACTATTCTTATTTTCACTCAACAAAAATGCTGTAAATCAATATAAACTATAACTGTACAGTAGTTCATGTATGTAATGTATGTATTGTTTCAATAATATCATGTTATTATACTCTTGAGCAAAAAAAATTACATGAATTTTTTAAATTGTTTTTGCGACTTAAAACCTATGTGACTTATGCATTGAGATATGTATCGAATCATGGGAAAGCTGTATCGTTGCATCCCTAGTTAATACGTTGCTTTTGGTGAACTCCACTCAATTTAATTTCTCTTCAGCGAGTAGATCAGGAATCAGAATACAGTAGACGGTTTGCAAGAACCCCGGAAGTTGTAGACCGCGCACCGGCCAATCAGCAAAGAGCTTTGAAGCCATGACGTCAAACTCAAGCGCCTGTCTGGGTCCCTTTTGTGGTACAGCACAACAGTAAGCAAAGCGGTCGAGATGGATGTAGATGAAGCCAGACATTTTGTGTTGGCAACGATTCCCGAGATCGAGGATTTATTGCCGGAACAAAAAGAATGTTTGGTGAATTTTATCAAGGGGAAAGACGTTATTGCCCTTCTTCCTACGGGATATGGCGCATTACATATATCACGACCAGATAGCAGCAATTGGTTAAATAAAACAAGTACCTGCCTACTGTCGAGCGAATGAATCCTAATGCTGCAAGATCAGACAGTTTCCACAAAGTGAAACCGGCTGATGAATCAGGCTAGGTGAATACAGCATTTTGAAAACAATAAAAGATAACATGGTGATCTAAATGCCATGTGTACGCAGTTAATACCCCATGGAAGTGTAATACCCTCTCTGTAGTTACAAGAACGAATGCTTTTCAAGGTATTTTAGAGTAATACTATACATACAATTAAATAAAAGCAAAATGGATATGTTAAACGCCATACTGGGGAACATTCCAGACAAAGCGAATCACCTAGTAAAGTTACATAGTGCCTCCTTAATAGAAATGCGTCTTGCCTTATTGAAAGCAGGATAGGTCATCTGCGGTCGTTCTGGTCTTAATCCCCAGACGCACTCGTAATATCTTTCCCCTTACTTTTTAATAGCTGCAGTACATTTAGCGGGTTACATGAGCTCGCTTACTTAATCTGGTTTGAAATATTAAAAGCTCCATGACCCAAGAAGTCCTTTTTCACACATGCTAACAGCCTTTTTATAACAGTGGGACTATGACGGTTGTTTTTGTGCCGCTTTGGTTCCATATAAGCCCAGTCCTGTGTCTGACCCTTTTGAAAGAACAAAAATATTCTACATTCTGAAATGGACGCAACTGGATGCAGAAGTGAAATGGAGCATAATGAGATTTTAGTTGATACTTTGTAAGCATGTATTTCTATGGCAGAATGTTCAGCAGTTACCATGGTGACGCAATGCACATATTAGCAATAACTTCTGAAAAAGTTTTAAGACTCAAAAAACAAAAAAAAAAAAAAAAAAACACACAAAATGGATTTAAAGGTCAAAAACATACCAGGAGTTGTGTTTTGTTTCATGCAGTACATGCTTGTAGTCCTGCACTGCTAGGCTGTTTACATCTCCAAAGCTCAAAATACTCTGTTCCACCTTGTGATGTCATCAAGTGGTAGTTTTCAAGATAACAGCTGCCTTTTAGCTTTGTTCAATTTGCAATTCTGGCAATTCTGCTGAAATGCTGAAACCATCCACCATCATTCTAGTGAAACTGTATGGATTTTAAAATACACTGGAGCACTTCCTGTATTGCCACATGACATCACAAGGTGGAACAGAGTGATTTCTGGTTCAAAGAAGCTTAAATATGCAGGGTTTGCGTGAATGAAACAAAACACAACTCCAGCTCTGTTTGTGATGAGGGAACTACATCAGAACATAGATCAGAAAATCGCGAAATATCGTCCCTTTAAATAACACATTTTCAGGAGTCTGTGAATACGAGGGTTCCTGTTTATGAGTTTGACTTATGACAAATATAATTTTTGTATATATAATTTGAGAGGGACTTGCCTAACAGCACAAATCAGATCACCTGTTCATCATCTTGAAAAACACTCATTCCAACCTCAAGGGGGCAGTAAGGGTTTAAGCAATGGACTGATTTCCATTATATGCACTGTGCCTCATTCTGTAGAGTTGTTTTTTTTTGTTTTTTTTTTATTTTGGTTATAGATACAATGCATTTTGGCAAATAAATCTTAGCTTAAATGCTAGGGCTGAGTATTATAAAGAAGTTGGCGATATGATAATACCTCGATACATAGGCCACGATACTATACATATCTCGATACAGTGCACTTTTGATTCGATATGATATTAAACCGCATTGAATCAATTTGAAATATTAAAAAATAAAGGCTAAATCATAGTTGTGATACTGAAAGTCTTTGTTAGACCACTTCTTGTGCATCCATTTTACTCATCAAAACAGTGAATATGTCAAATGTGTTGCATAAATGAGTTTCCTTCTTCCAAAAAGGCAACAAAACTGTAACATTGTAAAAAATAAAAAATAAAAAGTAAAATATACCAAAATACTAATAATGCATCAGTTTTATTATAGCAATTTTTTTGGACACTCAAAGACGCTTTTCAGAGCATTATCCATGCACTCCATACCCAGTAGTGGTACATTACTATTGTGGCCACAGCTGCCCTGGGGCAGACTGACAGAAGTGAGGCTGCCAATCTTTGGAGGCGCCATCGGCTCCTCCAACCACCATCAATACTCACGCACCACTTTCATACTAGGCAATGTGGTGAAGTGCCTTGCCTAAGGACACAATGACATTTTTTCACGACTGACGCCCCACTGTGGCACCTGATTTCCCCAGTGGTCTCCCATCCAAGTACTGACCAGGCCCGACCCTGCTGAGCTTCTGAGATCTGACGGGATCAGGCTTTGATGTATCAATACAGCAGCCCATGATATTGATACTGTGTCATCACATTAAATTATATACTATATCGATATTTTGATATTTTTTCACTCCCCTATTAAACGTGCAACTTCTAGAGCAGGGGTGTCAAACTGAAATTCACAGAGGCCAAAATTAAAAACTGGGCCTAAGTCGTGGGCCAAACTAAATATTTCTTGAGAAATTTTAACAACATCTGCATGTTTTCTCTCCTTTCAGGATATGTAATATTAAACCTTTTCTTATTCAAATAAATGTTTAATAATAGTTTTGATTAAACATTGAATCCAGAACAAGCAGAATATAAAATAATAACAACATTTTAAATAAATAATGTCTCTGTAGCCTATCTGTAGTCTGCAGTCCAACTCTAATACATATTTGATATTATATCGGGCCTGAGTTTGACATGTATGTCCTAGAGTGACCACTACCTCATCAAAATCATACCCGGAGTTCTGTTTTGTTTCATTCCCACATGTTTAACACACAAACCCTACATATTTAGGCTGAGTTCTTCTCTCAAACTGAAAACACTCTGTTCCACCTTGTGATGTCATGTGGTAATACAAGAAGTGCTCCACTGTGTTTTGAAATTGCAGAAACTTTCACTAGAATCATTTGGATCATTTCAGTCCTGGAAGATCTGGCAGTGTTTGCAAATGTGTACATTGTCAGACATACATGCAGTACCCACATGTTGTCACCGCAAAGTATCACTAGAGACAAGCAGGTTGCCGACACTCCACCTTTAAATAAAGTATCCGAGAAACAGAAAAGTCCACATTATTTGGGCATCGCTCTCAAACCCATTTCTGTAAAAGTTTGTCTTTGTGTGAAACTTTGACAGGATGGGCTCAGGTTGGGGGTACAGGAGCTAGTTAGTATTTCTGTCCGTCGCCTGGCCCTCGCAGGTTCCATGTTGGGGCCAGAGGGGCAGAGTGTAACGAGCAGAAGGGCCACGCGACGCCAGGCTAGCCCAAAGCTAACACCTGCCTCCCTCGTTACCGCTACAAATCCGGCAACAACCTCCCCTCCGCCCACATCCCACGCTCCACCTTTCCCCTCATATTCAAACCATCTTGTTATCCTGACACTTGTCTCTTTTCTTTTTGTGTGTGTGTTTTTAGATTGTGATCTGTGGACAAAAGGACGCGCCGGATACAGCCAGTCTGGTAGCAGCGGTCAACTCCCTGTTCCTCCCACATAAAGTAAGTCTGTGAGAGGTATTCAGAATCTTGAATATGATGTAGTCAAAGCATAGAAATGGCAGGGGTCCATTAAATCAGACCTGGGCATTGTACAGCTCCCGGGCAACATGCGGCTCTTTAGTTGCATGGACTAAAGCAGCATTGCTTTTATTTTAGAGGTGTTTTTTAATGACATTTTTTGTAAGGCGACCTCATTTTTTCATTGCTTAGTCATAACATAAACTCTTACCAGTCTTACAAACTCGTCAAAATAATGCTATTTACTGCTTTTTATAAAGAAATACAATTAAGATTATGCAGAATTGAGTAAAGCATTTTGGCCCGGCCCCATGGAAAAAAGAACAGCCCACCCCTGCATTAAATGAAAAAAGTATATTTGGTAAAAACTACATATTTTGACACAGTTGTTTTCGGACTAAAACACTCAAAATACTGCATGACGCACAAGTAGCAACAGCCAAATCACAGTTCTTTATCACTGCGCCGTGGTCATCGTTATGTCTGTACTGTGTCGTTATTAGGGATGTAACGATATCCAAATCTCACTGTACGATATTTTCACGATATGCATCTCACGGTACAATATTTATTGCGATATTTGTGGAGGCTAAACAGCTAAAACTGTGAATATGCTACTTACTTACTTACTTACTGTTAATGATGGTACTGTTGTAATATAAAGAATTAAGATTTAAGTGTTATTAATGTTAAGTCTCCATTGATAACACCAAAGGATCATGGTCTATGTAGTTCCCTCTGTTTTTTGTTCTGTCAGCTATTGCTGCTCCATAAACAATAAATTTAAGTAAAGAGACTTGTAGTTTGATATATTGTGACAGTCCACGATGTTATTGTGACTTTTGATGACACAATATCGCGATATTTTGGTTATTGTTACATCCCTAGTTGTTATGTCTGTATTGACTATGTGCTGATGTCATGGAGGTGTTTTTTTGTGTGTGCTGGTTCCATACTATGCCCTCATTATAGGGGCATGATTCAACTCCGAGTCCCGAGCACGATAGAATGTGGCAAAAGACTCATCTGCTCTGAGTAGCTTCATTTAAAATACTGCAGTAACTGATATTTGAACTGTATAACATATGGTTCCTCTCGTTTAATTCTTACGTAAGTGTTATCTGTCCATCCAGAACCACACACTGACAAAACTTTACAAAGACGAGCAGTTCTGTTAGTATCTGGTCTCCCTCATTCCAGAGAGTGTGATTGACAGGCGGATTAACCAAACAGAGAGACACATGGTCCAGTCGTGTCGAAATGAACATGGCGCGATGCAAATTCCCAAGTTAGGACGGTGGTTTGTTACGCTACGAATTTAGAAGGGCTGGATGCTCAAATCAGAAGGTTAGATGAAGACCCGTTGTTAAAGTTCTCCTCCTCTCTGCTTCTTTCCTCCTCCTCCTCTCCTCCTCTTCTTGGTGTCTCTCTGTCCTGGTCTCTTTCTAAACTCTCTCCAAACTGCTTCAACACCGCAAGAGTTGTGTTGGCGTCTCCTAGGTCTTTCTTTCTATCTATCTATCACTCTCCCTCTCTATCTCTTCTTTTTTCCTTCTCTGTCTCTTTTGTCTCTTCCTCTCCTCGGTCTCTCTTTCTCTCTTTCTTCGTCTCTCCCTGGTGTTCGGTCCATACTGGTGTAGCCTGGCTGACCTTTCTGTAAATCTGGCCTCATTCTGACAGCTGTCTGTGACACTGAACACAGATGGACAGTGTTTATGGAGCCTATAACTGGACACGTACATTACTTCTCTATCGCTGTGTCAGGGGAAGCCATTTTAATCCAAAAAAAAAGGATAAACTTGAAAGGAAAAGCCTTTTTGAAAAGCCTTTTTGTTTGTTTTCTAATGGACACAGCAGAAATACAACATAACAGATTCCTAGTATCAATGGCAAAAATATATTTTTGGATCAATATATAAGGTCAGATGGGTTATACAATATAAAGATATTAAACTGGGTCAAGGACTGTATGATTGTTATAACAAACTATGTATATTTAGCCTGATTCATGACCTTGCAGCATTAGGATTCATTTGCTTGACGGTAGGCAGATACTTTTTTTATTTAACCAATTTGATCATGACGAATGTGCGCCGGAACACTCAGTGGTGTCCCAAGTAATTGTCGGCACAACAGCAAACAAAGCAGAGAGTGAACATGTCTGTGAACAATCATTGTCATTTATTTGAGGTGAACTTGCGAATTAAAGGTGCAATATTTGTTGAAGTTTGTTTGACAAAGGAAGTCCAAAGGAGGATAGCGTATGCAGTCTGCTATCGCAACTCGGGTTGGTTCAGCTCTTCACTAATTGGCCAGTCTAGTGTATTCTGATTTCTGACCTAGTCACTGGAGAGAAATGAAATTGAACAGAGGCACCAAGTGGCATCAGTCTGGCTAATCTGTATTAGCATATTGTTGAAAATAGCTCTTGCAAAAAAATAAAAAAAAAAATAAAAAATAAAAACTCGATTACTCAATTTTAATACTAACTAGACTTGATATTCAATTCAATTGACACCACAATAATAAATAAAAACATTCTTACTTTAGACAGTGAAACATAATTTTCAACATAAAATATCAGTAGTTTCATTAATGTTAACATGTGCTTTTGTTCAGATATAAAATCATTCTATAATAAGTAAGAACAGTTTTTTATTATTACTTTAGTTTTTTTATTATTGATTATTGTTTGAATGATTAGTGTCTACTTTTTATACAACCCTAGTACATAATATTTAAAGAACAGTATGTAACTTTCAGGTGGTGGCACATTACCTGCATGATTCCACAGAAATAAAAACTTAAAATCATACTGCGGAACATTCTTCATGGAGATAAATAAGCTCTAGTCTATGCCATACCGTGGAAGATTACACATTTTCCATGGAAACAAAGAGATGAGACTCTCATTTAGACCAAACAAGACCCAGGTTGGCCTTCTCAGAGTCAGGACGCTGCATTATTTTACTGTGTCTTTAACTCCCAAAGTGTCAAACGCACGTACAAACACAATGTATGCAAATGATATACAGTGTGGTGTCTTTTTTTAATTGTTACAACACTTAGCCTGCCCCCAGTTTGCACTTGGAAGCCTATTACTTAATTAAACCAATAAATTAGCCTGTTATTGTCCACTACTGCGCCGTCCCTCGCCTTCTCCCTCTCTTTTCCTCCATCTGTCCGTTTCTTCCCCGTCTTCTCGCCCAGAACTCAACAGGCCTATTGAAATATAGATGAGGAGTGCGGTATTGGTCGCTGGCTGCAGCAGCGTTAGCCCAGAGCCGAGGAGAGGCGCTGAGCCAGATAGACCTTACCATAACAGATCTATTATTTAAGTGTGTGTCGTGTGCGCCGCTCGGCCCCATGGGAGATGTGAGTATTAGATGGAAGGAGATAGATGTGTTAATGTTGACTTTAAGGCGGAAGTCCCAGGGAAATACGAGAAACGCCGGTGCCTGTGCTAACTCAAAGGGGTGAATTAGGACCATCTGGGACAAGAAGTGATGGAGAAAATTTACTTCTCTGTTATTAACTGCTGTTCTGTAACATATTTAGATCACTATCTTAGGTAGCATTCGTTCTTTTTAATTTCAATTAAGAACGGAAAACAATAAAATGGGGAAACAGTTTGTTATTTCATTACAGTGGCCCCTTGTTTATCGCGGGGGATACATTCTAAAAATAACACGCGATAGGTGAAATCCGCGAAGTAGTCAACTTTATATTTTATGATTATTATATCTGTTTTAAGGCTGTAAAAACCCCTCAGCACACACTTTAAACACTTTTCTCAGACAGGACAGTTAAAACCCTTTCTGCATCCGTTCTTAAAACTTATTGCTGCTGTCGTACTTTTGTTATTTTCTTTATGTAACGAACTGAAGATTCATTTATTCTGTAATGGAGCCCAACAGCGCAGAGTCCTGCACAGGGTCCATTTTTGGAGACTCTTCTAATTCTGTTAAACAACAATTCATAAACATTGTCTGATTTTCATTGGTTATTTGTCAGGAAATTTGTATTTATTGTAGGGATGGGCATGATTTATCGATTAATCGATAATTGATCATTAAGAATTTCATCGATTACGTTTATTTTAATTGACAAACCAAATGTAGGTTGCTGTGCGTAGCGTGACCAAACAGGGGTCCGTACATGTAGCTCTCTGCACTCAGAAACATTCGGTCAGCCTGCAACGTACCGAAGCACAAATGCGTATTTAACGATGATTTGTACAAGAAATTCCACGCTTTCCGTTGCATTCGGGACAAGTGTGAGTCCATGTGCACAGTGTACAAAGCAGCACATACGTTTCAGGTGTCCAGTGGGAAAAGTTTTGCCAGGTGAGAGTCGCACAATGTTGATGACGAGTCCCCACCTCCCTCCCCCCGTACAGTGTCCTGGTTTTGACAAACGTAAATCTGGTCACACTAACCTGTATTCCACTGAGTCATGTCTTTTAATCTGACAGAAGTTGACCGCATCAGCGACACAAGAGCTGTAGTTTTATCTTCGCTTTGTTTATGCAAATTAGCGATGTGGTTTTAAGTTTTGTTTTTGTGAGAGTTGCGCAAAACTGAATTAAACACATTATAAATGTCAAACAGGCTGATGTGGCTCTAGAGTCGTTATGGTTTATATGTTGTAAAGTTGATTTATGCAGATTAGTAGTGCAGATAGTAATAATAATGATGATCATTTTAATATATATAAAAACGTTAATGATTAATCGATAATCGATCGTTAATTCTTCCGACGATCGATTAAGAAAATTTCATTGAATGCCCATCCCTAATTTGTTGTTATTATTATTATTATTATTATTATTATTATTATTAATTATTATTATTATTCAAGTTATTTCAGTGACCATTGTTGATTTTTATTTCATTATAAGAGGGGTACCAACAATTTTGTATATAGGTATATGTATAGTAGTAGTAGTAGTAGTATAGTATATATAAGTATACTGTATATAA